CCACTCTCAAGGTTTACGTGGCAGCAGTCGCGGCGTTCTCTGAACCCCGACGCGCTCAGTCCCTGGGCAAAGACGAGTTAGTCATCCGCTTCCTCAGGGGAGCTAAGAGGATGAACCCTCCGCGCCCCCCTTCGGTTCCTATCTGGGATCTTTCTATAGTTCTCGAAGCTATGAAAGCACCCTTGTTCGAACCGCTCGAGTCTGTGGACCTAAAATACCTCTCGCTCAAAACCGTTTTTCTGACGGCTCTGTCCTCAGTAAAACGCGTGGGGGATCTTCACGCGCTCTCATCCAGCGCCGCGTGTCTTGAGTTTGGACCGAATGATTCTGTTGTCATTCTCAAACCTAGGCATGGCTATGTCCCGAAGGCGATTGGTACCCCGTTCAGGGCTCAGATTATTTCCCTATCGGCTCTGCCTTCATCCGATAGTGAGCGCGACGCCAAACTCCTCTGCCCGGTGCGGGCTCTGAGATTGTACACTACGCGCGCTGCCTCGTTCAGACGCGCTGAGCAGCTTTTCGTGTCGTTTGGGGGGCGCACCAAAGGTCTGGCCGCCTCTAAACAGACACTGTCTAGATGGATAGTGGACGCTATCGCCTCTGCTTACGCATCTAAATGCCTGCCCTGCCCTCTGGGCATCAGGGCGCACTCCACTAGAGGCATGGCCTCATCGTGGGCATGGTCCTGTGGAATTTCCATTCATGACATTTGTGTGGCCGCGGGATGGGCCTCCCCGTCCACTTTTGTCAGATTTTACAACTTGGAAGTTCCCGCCTTGCAGGCAAAATTACTAGCTGTCTAACGATCAGCTCCCTAAGAAGCTGCATTACTGGGAGTCCCTCACACAACCGGTTTGCCCCTTGTGCTCTCCTTAGATGCTTATGTATACACTTCATGTGCCCGCTCTGCCGGCCTCATATTACATTCACTCCACGTTAAAAATCCCCCGGTATCACCCTGGGATTCATGAGTGGATTCATAGCGCGCACGGCGTTGACCAGGTGTTCCCGCAGCGTAAGCTAGCTTACGCAATACGAGAGAACCTCTCGTAAGAGAACGAATCGGTTACCTAACGTAACCTCGGTTCTCTCTAGAAGAGGGAACGAGTATTGCGTTCCCGGCCGTGCTTGCGCTACTAGCGTTTCGCTTCACGCTGAAATAAATCAACATATAAGCCTGGGAGAGACTGTTATATACACCATAGCCACGCCCATTCTGGCGGGCCATGATGCAATGAGCGCGCGGGCGCCTCTCATTGGCAGCGGGTTCAGCCCCGCTCTCCCATAGGCTTAAGCAGTTCTCTCTGAGCGAACCAATGAGCTGCTAGCTAGCCTGCTCTAGGTCTGCCGCAGAGGAACTGCGTTGTCAATGGATACAAATTATGAAATAATTTTTTGGCTTCAAACTCTCAGCAAAGATGAATCTTTCCCGCAGCGTAAGCTAGCTTACGCAATACTCGTTCCCTCTTCTAGAGAGAACCGAGGTTACGTTAGGTAACCGATTCGTTTTTTGCCTACACCAAGAAAAAAAAACGTTCTTTCTGGTCACTGAAAGTCCTTTGGGGAACTACAAATGTTTCTTCTATGGTGTTGTAAAAATTGGAACCTTTATTTTTAAAGAGTTTAGTATCAGGGAAAAAAAATCCACTTTCCACATTTACAATAATGATTAATAAAATTCCTGAGATTTTGCAGGGTATTTAAATAATTTGCTCATTTCTAACATGAAACAGTCTTGAAACAGGTTTGGCTTGTGCAGATGATTTGAGGTTGATAAGTTAGCCTATCTGATGGTGCTGCCACTCTCTCTAAGAGGGAGATTGCAGTTTCATATCTTTTTCGGGTTCATGTCTTTTGCTAATAGCAGGTCAGGAAAATACAAGCACAATCTCTTAAGCTGACAAAAATGTAGATTTTTAAGATATAGCCCTAGGCTGCCTGGAGTGGCTTTCCAACATCTGAAAATTTAATTTATTTTAAAAGCACATAATCAAAAACAAATTGATAAACCTCCTTTAATATTTGTAACTCTTTTTTAAAAACTCTTTTTAACCCTAATGTTTAGCAAAATTTAGTATGATGGGCAATTAAGGAAAGAAATAATGAAAAAGTTGTAAGATAATGGACAATACACTGTGTTGTCTGAACATACTTAAAGACCTTCATGATATAAATACCATGGCAGAGCAGCTCGTGTTTCCCCTTTCCCTCTTTGGCCTTGAATTATGATTCCATTAGAGACCGACAGCTCCTGTGTTTACTTAGGGAACAGTAGCAAAAGCTTAGACCACCACCTTGTGGTCTCTTAAAGACATGACTTTTTTTTTCTTCTACTAAAACATCTAACTTTATTTGTATTTGCACAAGTACAAAACAATAAATAAAAAAACATGTATAGAATAAATACATAATATAAAGAGAAAATAAAAAATGCATTCGCATAAATTTGGAAAGCTTTACAAGTTTAAGCTTTAGTTTTTGCATTTCTGGAAAAGTTTCAATGTAAATCTTTATTCAATAGAAATAAATCTTGGGGTCAGTATTGCAAAACGCAGTGTATTTGTGCTGTTCTCATTTTGTAACACAACATATAAATGTGTGTGTGTGGGGGGGGGGCATATATATGCACTGAACAATGACACATGCATATATATACACTGAACAAAAGGGGGTGGGGATGTTTTCAGCTTCCAGGAATTGTGTACAGATCCTTGCAACATGGGGCCGTGCATTATCCTGCTGCAACATGAGGTGATGGTCGTGGATGAATGGCACAACAATGGGCCTCAGGATCTGGTCACGGTATCTCTGTGCATTCAAAATGCCATCAATAAAATGCACCTGTATTCGTTGTCCATAACATACGCCTGCCCATACCATAACCCCACCACCACCATGGGCCACTCGATCCACAACGTTGACATCAGCAAACCGCTCACCCACACGACGCCATACACGCTGTCTGCCATCTGCCCTGTAGTGAAAACTGGGATTCATCCTTGAAGAGAACACCTCTCTAAAGTGCCAGACGCCATCGAATGTGAGCATTTCCCACTCAAGTCGGTTACGACGACGAACTGCAGTCAAGTCGAGACCCCGAGGAGGACGACGAGCATGCAGATGAGCTTCCCTGAGACGGTTTCTGACAGTTTGTGCAGAAATTCTTTGGTTATGCGAACCGATTGTTGCAGCAGCTGTCCGGGTGACTGGTCTCAGACGATCTTGGAGGTGAAGATGCTGGATGTGGAGGTCCTGGGCTGGTGTGGTTACATGTGGTCTGCGGTTGTGAGGCCGGTTAGATTATGGTAGAGAAATGAACATTCAATTCACGGGCAACAGCTCTGGTGGACATTCCTGCAGTCAGCATGAATGAATGTGTTTGGGATGCTCTGGATCGGCGTATACAACAGCGTGTTCCAGGTCCTGCCAATATCCAGCAACCTTGCACAGCCATTGAAGAGGAGTGCACCAATATTCCACAGGACATTTTTGGGTGGCCTTTTATTGAGGCCAACCTAAGGCACACCTGTGCAATAATCATGCTGTCTAATCAGCATCTTGATATTATGCCACACCTGTGAGGTGGATCGTGGATTATCTCGGCAAAGGAGAAGTGCTCACTAACACAGATTTAGACAGATTTGTGAACAATATTTAAGAGAAATAGGCCTTTTGTGTACATAGAAAAAGTCTTAGATCATTGAGTTCAGCTCATGAAAAATGGATGTTGACAAAAGTGTTGTGTTTATAATTTTGTTCAGTGTATATATAAGACTACATTATTTTTTTTCTTTAGCATGAAGCTTATTCATTTCAATTTTGGTGTGAAAGGGCCAAAAATAGAACAAACAACCAAAAGTAACTCAGAAGTAATGTAATGTATAACTCTCCATAAAAAATATGAATTAACACAATTAATTAATGTTAACAATTAAGTTCATAAAGATTGGATTAGTTCATAAAGAGATTATAAAACTAATCCATATGAATTGAGGGGTAGTTAACATTTTCTGAAGAGACTCACTTTATGAACAGATTGGCTTTAGACTTTTATTCACATAACATTAATGAGTGAACATAAACTAAAGCTCAACCAAACCGAACCAAGCCATTACAATTAGGCCTACTCTTGCAGAAGCTCAAATGTGCTGAGTAACACGAGAATGAACCTCATTGGTTCTTGCTGAAGCTCAAACCTGCTGTGTAACACGAGAATGGATGGAATGGAATGCTTCAGTCCACATAAAAACCTAAAAATGCTCAAAATTTAAACTAAAAATGCTAAAACTTTACCAAAAAAAATTTGTATAATGTCTACTTGTGTATCTGAATGCATACTCTAGTGTAGAGAAACTGTCTTTAGGACCCAGGGAAAACAGCTAATTTAATCCAAATAGTGCTATAAGGCCATATTGCAAGACTAATGACAGAATTTTCATTTTTGGGTGAACTATCCCTTTAATATAAAATGATAATATTGTAATTTGATAGCAATATCAAATTCAATAGTGTTTTTTGATTGATCTCTAGGAAAGACTACAGAGTATAGCCTACTAGGCTAAAACTATCATCAGTGAACTAAGCAGGAAGTTATGTATAAAATGTATATATAAAATCAGATAAAAGTCATAAATTACACAATTTAAACTATGATGAAGATAACTGTAAATGGAACTCCGATAGGCTAACTGTGTGGGTGTGCATGAAAAGAATGATGCCTATTGAATCTAACATGTTCCGCCCTCTCTGCTTTACTATTGGTCAGAAGGCACGTCACTCTTGCATGTTTGAGTTCTCATTGGTCCCCGCAGTGTTATCGAGCGCGTTCTTTGATGACGTAACGGCTTGACCTTCCTGTACTAGAAGTTGATTGGGTAATCTTCGAGTCAAACATGAGCTTCTGATTTTTATTGGTTAGTGTAGACACGCCTGGCCTCCATTGCCCAAATCCCACATCTGAAGGTTAAAGTCAGTCATTCTCCATCACACCGCTACTTGCGTGTTACTCTCCCCCTCTCGCTCTTAATTTACAGAAATATTAACACAATATCATGTCGATATTTGGTGAAGTACCGCTGGCTGCTCCTGTCGCAGTGTTTAAACTTTCAGCAGATTTCCGTGAAGATCAGAACCCCAGCAAGGTGAATCTGGGAGTCGGAGGTGAGAGATGCGCTTTTTAATAAACACACACTTAAGTTACATATCAGAGCTTACATGAATGTCAATGTGTGTAAATTTTTGCATGCTCCGCTTTATGTGACAGCAATTGGCCTAATAAAAAAATAAGACTTGAACACATCTGTGCATGTACATCTGTCTCGTTCTGAATTTAAGATTAAATAATGGCTTTTTTTTTTTTTTTTTTTTTTTTTTTTTTTATGATTATGATGGTGGTAGACGCAGCACGTGATCACAGATCAGCTGTTTTCTGGAGGCATCAGTAATAACGTTATGAGATTTTTCATGGACGATGATATGACATTAAAGGGTTAGTTCACCCAAAAATGAAAATTCTGTCATTAATTAACGTTACTCACCCTCATGTCTTTCCAAATCCGTAAGACTTTTGTTTCAGTCCAAATGAATTGAGCGGTTTAGTCCACAGTTTTCTCAAGAGACACAATCGCTTTATATGATGAACAGATTGAATTTAGGCTTTTATTCACATATAAACATTCATCAACACATCAGTTGTAGTAAGGATGCTCAAGAATGTTCGCTTGACGTGCGAAAACCAATGAGGTTCATTCTTGTGGTACACATCACTTTTGACCGGAGTAAAGATAGTTTGCGGTTTGATTTTCAGTTTTCGTTTCGCTGTGGTCCCGCAGTGCGGTGTCGTGGACATGCAAATAATATCTCATGTCGTTATTCATGATTTGTGAATTTGTGTAACGGTGTTTCTCCGGGTCAAAAACCTTTTTTTTTTTTTTTTTTTTTTTTTTTTTTAATTGGGTATAGCTCCAAAAGTCGGTCACTTAGGAGTCTGAACCCAGTGTCACCTTGACATGCTCGATTTGTGAATTTTTTCACAGCAAAGCTCTTATCTGTAAAACGTTCGCTAAGTCCGGTAGACAGGAATGTTGAAAATAGCCGTTGTTCATGTTTAAACAATGGATATTAACAATTTATAATAAACACACACACTGCTGGATTACAAAAACACTTGTTTTAGATTGAACCTGATTTGTGAAAACTTTCACAGATCAGTTTGGGTCAGTTAACCCTTCCCTGAGTGGTTAACTTGGTCATTCTGATTTGTGAAACCTTTCAGAGGTCAGTTTGGGTCAGTTAACCCCTCCCTGAGTGGTTAACTAGGTCATTCTGATTTGTGAAAACTTTCACAGATCAGTTTGGGTCAGTTAACCCTTCCCTGAGTGGTTAACTAGGTCATTCTGATTTGTGAAAACTTTCACAGATAGGTTTGAGTCAGTTAACCCTTCCCTGGTTGGTTAACTAGGTCATTCTGATTTGTGAAAACTTTCACAGATCAGTTTGGGTCAGTTAACCCTTCCCTGAGTGGTTAACTAGGTCATTCCGATTTGTGAAACCTTTCAGAGGTCAGTTTGGGTCAGTTAACCCTTCCCTGAGTGGTTAACTATGTCATTCTGATTTGTGAAAACTTTCACAGATAGGTTTGGGTCAGTTAACCCTTCCCTGAGTGGTTAACTAGGTCATTCTGATTTGTGAAACCTTTCAGAGGTCAGTTTGGGTCAGTTAACCCCTCCCTGAGTGGTTAACTAGTTCATTCTGATTTGTGAAAACTTTCACAGATCAGTCTGGGTCAGTAAACCCCTCCCTGAGTGGTTAACTAGGTCATTCTGATTTGTGAAACCTTTCACAGATCAGTTTGGGTCAGTTAACCCTTCCCTGAGTGGTTAAATAGGTCATTCTGATTTGTGAAACCTTTCACAGATCAGTTTGGGTCAGTTAACCCTTCCCTGAGTGGTTAACTAGGTCATTCCGATTTGTGAAACCCTTCACAGATCAGTTTGGGTCAGTCAACCCTTCCCTGAGTGGTTAAATAGGTCATTCTGATTTGTGAAACCTTTCACAGATCAGTTTGGGTCAGTTAACCCTTCCCTGAGTGGTTAACTAGGTCATTCTGATTTGTGAAACCCTTCACAGATCAGTTTGGGTCAGTTAACCCTTCCCTGAGTGGTTAAATAGGTCATTCTGATTTGTGAAACCTTTCACAGATCAGTTTGGGTCAGTTAACCCTTCCCTGAGTGGTTAACTAGGTCATTCTGATTTGTGAAAACTTTCACAGGTAGGTTTGAGTCAGTTAACCCTTCCCTGGTTGGTTAACTAGGTCATTCTGATTTGTGAAAACTTTCACAGATCAGTTTGGGTCAGTTAACCCTTCCCTGAGTGGTTAACTAGGTCATTCCGATTTGTGAAACCTTTCAGAGGTCAGTTTGGGTCAGTTAACCCTTCCCTGAGTGGTTAACTATGTCATTCTGATTTGTGAAAACTTTCACAGATAGGTTTGGGTCAGTTAACCCTTCCCTGAGTGGTTAACTAGGTCATTCTGATTTGTGAAACCTTTCAGAGGTCAGTTTGGGTCAGTTAACCCCTCCCTGAGTGGTTAACTAGGTCATTCTGATTTGTGAAAACTTTCACAGATCAGTTTGGGTCAGTTAACCCTTCCCTGAGTGGTTAACTAGGTCATTCTGATTTGTGAAAACTTTCACAGATAGGTTTGAGTCAGTTAACCCTTCCCTGGTTGGTTAACTAGGTCATTCTGATTTGTGAAAACTTTCACAGTTCAGTTTGGGTCAGTTAACCCTTCCCTGAGTGGTTAACTAGGTCATTCTGATTTGTGAAACCTTTCAGAGGTCAGTTTGGGTCAGATAACCTTTCCCTGGTTGGCTAACTAGGTCATTCTGATTTGTTGAAACTTTCACAGATCAGTGTGGGTCAGTTAACCCTTCCCTGAGTGGTTAACTAGGTCATTCTGATTTGTGAAACCTTTCAGAGGTCAGTTTGGGTCAGTTAACCCCTCCCTGAGTGGTTAACTAGGTCATTCTGATTTGTGAAAACTTTCACAGATCAGTTTGGGTCAGTTAACCCCTCCCTGAGTGGTTAACTAGTTCATTCTGATTTGTGAAAACTTTCACAGATCAGTTTGGGTCAGTTAACCCTTCCCTGAGTGGTTAACTAGGTCATTCTGATTTGTGAAAACTTTCACAGATCAGTTTGGGTCAGTTAACCCCTCCCTGAGTGGTTAACTAGGTCATTCTGATTTGTGAAACCTTTCACAGATCCGTTTGGGTCAGTTAACCCTTCCCTGAGTGGTTAACTAGGTCATTCCGATTTGTGAAACCTTTCAGAGGTCAGTTTGGGTCAGTTAACCCCTCACTGAGTGGTTAACTAGGTCATTCTGATTTGTGAAACCTTTCACAGATAAGTTTGGGTCAGTTAGCCCTTCCCTGAGTGGTTAACTAGGTCATTCTGATTTGTGAAACCTTTCAGAGGTCAGTTTGGGTCAGTTAACCCCTCCCTGAGTGGTTAACTAGTTCATTCTGATTTGTGAAACCTTTCACAGATCAGTTTGGGTCAGTTAACCCTTCCCTGAGTGGTTAACTAGGTCATTCTGATTTGTGAAAACTTTCACAGATCAGTCTGGGTCAGTTAACCCTTCCATGAGTGGTTAACTAGGTCATTCTGATTTGTGAAAACTTTCACAGATCAGTCTGGGTCAGTTAAACCCTCCCTGAGTGGTTAACTAGGTCATTCTGATTTGTGAAAACTTTCACAGTTCAGTTTGGGTCAGTTAACCCTTCCCTGAGTGGTTAACTAGGTCATTCTGATTTGTGAAACCTTTCAGAGGTCAGTTTGGGTCAGATAACCTTTCCCTGGTTGGTTAACTAGGTCATTCTGATTTGTTGAAACTTTCACAGATCAGTGTGGGTCAGTTAACCCTTCCCTGAGTGGTTAACTAGGTCATTCTGATTTGTGAAACCTTTCAGAGGTCAGTTTGGGTCAGTTAACCCCTCCCTGAGTGGTTAACTAGTTCATTCTGATTTGTGAAAACTTTCACAGATCAGTTTGGGTCAGTTAACCCTTCCCTGAGTGGTTAACTAGGTCATTCTGATTTGTGAAAACTTTCACAGATCAGTCTGTGTCAGTTAACCCTTCCCTGAGTGGTCATTCTGATTTGTGAAAACTTTCACAGATCAGTTTGGGTCAGTTAACCCTTCCTGAGTGGTTAACTAGGTCATTTTCATTTGTGAAACCTTTCAGAGGTCAGTTTGGGTCAGTTAACCCCTCCCTGAGTGGTTAACTAGGTCATTCTGATTTGTGAAAACTTTCACAGATCAGTCTGGGTCAGTTAACCCCTCCCTGAGTGGTTAACTAGGTCACCTAATTAACCACTCAGGGAAGGGTTAACTGACCCAAACTGATCTGTGAAAGTTTTCACAAACCAGAATGAACTAGTTAACCACTCAGGGAGGGGTTAACTGACCCAAACTGATCTGTGAAAGTTTTCACAAATCAGAATGAACTAGTTAACCACTCAGGGAGGGGTTAACTGACCCAGACTGATCTGTGAAAGTTTTCACAAATCAGAATGACCTAGTTAACCACTCAGGGAAGGGTTAACTGACCCAGACTGATCTGTGAAAGTTTTCACAAATCAGAATGACCTAGTTAACCACTCAGGGAAGGGTTAACTGACCCAAACTGATCTGTGAAAGTTTTCACAAATCAGAATGAACTAGTTAACCACTCAGGGAGGGGTTAACTGACCTCTGAAAGGTTTCACAAATCAGAATGAACTAGTTAACCAACCAGGGAAGGGTTAACTGACTCAAACCTATCTGTGAAAGTTTTCACAAATCAGAATGACCTAGTTAACCACTCAGGGAAGGGTTAACTGACCCAAACTGATCTGTGAAAGGTTTCACAAATCAGAATGACCTAGTTAACCACTCAGGGAAGGGTTAACTGACCCAAACTGATCTGTGAAAGTTTTCACAAATCAGAATGACCTAGTTAACCACTCAGGGAAGGGTTAACTGACCCAAACTGATCTGTGAAAGGTTTCACAAATCAGAATGACCTAGTTAACCACTCAGGGAAGGGTTAACTGACCCAAACTGATCTGTGAAAGTTTTCACAAATCAGAATGACCTAGTTAACCAACCAGGGAAGGGTTAACTGACCCAAACCTATCTGTGAAAGTTTTCACAAATCAGAATGACCTAGTTAACCACTCAGGGAAGGGTTAACTGACCCAAACTGATCTGTGAAAGTTTTCACAAATCAGAATGAACTAGTAAACCACTCAGGGAGGGGTTAACTGACCCAAACTGACCTCTGAAAGGTTTCACAAATCAGAATGAACTAGTTAACCACTCAGGGAGGGGTTAACTGACCCAAACTGACCTCTGAAAGGTTTCACAAATCAGAATGACCTAGTTAACCACTCAGGGAAGGGTTAACTGACCCAAACTGACCTCTGAAAGGTTTCACAAATCAGAATGACCTAGTTAACCACTCAGGGAAGGGTTAACTGACCCAAACTGATCTGTGAAAGGTTTCACAAATCAGAATGACCTAGTTAACCACTCAGGGAAGGGTTAACTGACCCAAACGGATCTGTGAAAGTTTTCACAAATCAGAATGACCTAGTTAACCAACCAGGGAAGGGTTAACTGACTCAAACCTATCTGTGAAAGGTTTCACAAATCAGAATGACCTAGTTAACCACTCAGGGAAGGGTTAACTGACCCAAACTGATCTGTGAAAGGTTTCACAAATCAGAATGACCTATTTAACCACTCAGGGAAGGGTTAACTGACCCAAACTGATCTGTGAAAGGTTTCAAAAATCAGAATGACGTATTTAACCACTCAGGGAAGGGTTAACTGACCCAAACTGATCTGTGAAGGGTTTCACAAATCAGAATGACCTAGTTAACCACTCAGGGAAGGGTTAACTGACCCAAACTGATCTGTGAAAGGTTTCACAAATCAGAATGACCTAGTTAACCACTCAGGGAGGGGTTAACTGACCCAAACTGACCTCTGAAAGGTTTCACAAATCAGGTTCAATCTAAAACAAGTGTTTTTGTAATCCAGCAGTGTGTGTGTTTATTATAAATTGTTAATATCCATTGTTTAAACATGAACAACGCCTATTTTCAACATTCCTGTCTACCGGACTTAGCGAACGTTTTACAGATAAGAGCTTTGCTGTGAAAAAATTCACAAATCGAGCATGTCAAGGTGACACTGGGTTCAGACTCCTAAGTGACCGACTTTTGGAGCTATACCCAATTTAAAAAAAAAAAAAAGGTTTTTGACCCGGAGAAATACCGTTACACAAATTCACAAATCATGAATAACGACATGAGATATTATTTGCATGTCCACGACACCGCACTGCGGGACCACAGCGAAACGAAAACTGAAAATCAAACCGCAAACTATCTTTACTTCGGTTCACTTTTGAGCTTCCGCAAGAACCAATGAGGTTCCTTTACTTATTGTTTGTTACAGAAGGTTTGAGCTTCAGCAAGAGGTTTGTTCTCACGCATCAAGCAGGTTCGATTGAGCTTCTGTTTATGTTCACTAAACAATGTTTATATGTGAATAAAAGCCTAAATTCAATCTGTTCATCATAAAGCGATCGAGTCTCTTCAGAAAATTTGGACTAAACCGCTCAATTCATATGGATTCGTTTTACTATGTCTTTATGAATGTTTTGAACCGTCAAAGTTGTAGTTGCATATCTGTCAATGGAGGGACAGAAATCTCTCAGATTTCATCAAAAAGATATTTATTTTGTGTTTCGAAGATGAACGAAAGTCTTACTGGTTTAGAACAACATGAGGGTGAGTAGCCTAATTAATAACAGAATTTAAATTTTTGAGTGAACTATTCCCATTAAACTATTATGTTTAACTTAATATAATGTTATACTGTAGGCACATTATGCACACAGATCTGATATGGAATTATATTTGCTAATTATCCATATTTTAAAAATAATTATATTCTATACATGCCACATGTCAAACCTTTGGACACACTTAATTTGTGTTTCTCACAATCTTGATGTTAAAGCTTAAATTCTTGAAATAATTTTTTGTAGACTAGTATAAATGTAAAATTAAATGTATTTTATTATTCTAAAATATGGAAAAATGTCATTAAAAGTTTTGACACATAAAACTAAAGGCATATCATGACATGTACAGTGATCTAACATTAAACTAAAATCATTGCATGCAGGTCCAGAGGCATCTAGCATTTCTAAATATATATTAAGGGATAAAGTTACTCTTCCGGCATTGGTCGTTTTCATTGGAGATCAGTCACATGGTCAGTGCTGTTAGCTGGGGGTGAATAGATTGTCTTATGTCAACAGTATTATTGTGTAGAAGCAGTCGTCATGTGTCATCTGCTGTGTAGTCATTCCTGATCCCGGTTAGAGAGCTTGACCTCGGAGGATTATCTTTATCTTCTGCTTTTCCTGACGCCCTGCCGACACCACGACTCCTGAGGTTCTGGGACAGATTAAAGACGAGCAAAGGATGAAAAGTCACCTCTCTAAAAATCCCTGAGTCATGATTGTGTGGACTGTTTTTCAACAGCTTCCCCTGTCCTAGTCCAGACTGCAATGATTATCCTTTTGAGCAACCCAGAACACTGATTTACAGTGTGTGACTACATATTGTCATACTTCTGCAGACGGTGACAAAAAATGCAGTATTTCTCATCTTTTTTTATTTTAAAGACTGCTACTAAACCTTGATATGTGGCACAAATTGCTCATTGATCTAATATGTGATACATTCAGATATGCCACTTAAGTGAAATTAATGCTCTGCGTCACATTCTAAAACTTCACCAGTTTATGTACAGAACAGAATTTAGTTGGATAAGTTTTGTTCTATATTTGTGTAGGATTTGTAAATCAAGAATTGCATCAGGACATGAGCAGCACACGTTGAATAAGCTCATTTTGCTCTTGGGTAAAAGTTCACAGATAAATCCTGATCAGGCACCCCTGATAAAAAAGGAACGATTACGCATGACAAAAAATTGATTAGAAAGCAATTCAGTGAAACTTAGGGTGCTGTAATGTACACTATAGTTCAATAATTCAATAATTTGGGTTGGTAAGATTTTTAAAACTTATTTTTTTTTTGCATTTAGGTTTTAGGTTGCATTTAAAAAAAAAAAAGAAGTAAAAACAGTAATATTATGCAATAATATTACAATTTGAAATACCCATTATATTTTAAAATGTAAATGCATTTATGAATTTTACCATCATGACCTCAGTCTTCAGTGTCACATTATCCTTCAGAAATCGTTCTGATTAGCGGCTCAAGAAATATGTTTTATTATTATTATCAATGTTGAAATATTTCTGTTTTCAAGATTCTTTAACGAACTTTGAACAGTTGTGTAAAAATCATAATTTTGCGTCTGTGTTTTTGAAGTGGTCTGGTTGAAATCCTCTGCTTCTTCTTTAGCCTACAGGACAGATGAATGTCAGCCTTGGGTTCTCCCCGTGGTGAGAAAAGTGGAGAAGATGATCGCTGATGACCATAGTTTGAACCACGAGTACCTGCCCATTTTAGGCCTGCCAGAGTTTCGTTCCAGTGCGTCTAAGATCGCTCTGGGTGAAGACAGTCCTGCCATCAAGGACAACCGGGTCAGATGAGATGCTATTGTATTATATATATGCCTGTATTAATAACTGTCAGCAGCCATTTTCACCATCATTACTCCAGTCTTCAGTGTCACATGATCCTTCATAAATCATTCTAATATGCTGATTTGCTGCTCAAGAAACATTTCTTATTATTATCAATGTTGAAAACACAAATATTTTTGTGGAAACCATGATACATTTTTTTACAGGAGTCTCTGAAATATACAACGTTAGAATGAACAGAATGTAATTGAAATACAACGTTATAAATTACGTTTCTGTCAATTTCCTGATCAATTTAATGCAACCATGCTGAATAAAAGTATCAATTTATTTTAAAAAAAAAAGTCTTACTGACCCCAAACTTTGGAATTGAAGCGTACAGTAGTGTTGAGTAAATTGACATCTTCCCCCTTTATTAAAATTATTTTAAAAATGTGTTAAAGATTTTGTAAGCATGTTGCGTAGTTGTGCTTGGAGTCAATTGTTTTATTTGTGATAATGCAAAGAAACATGGCAAATTGTGCGGACATAATTTTTGCCCAGACTGTCATAAAAAGGAATTATGAACACATGTGAAACGAGAGAACCAAGAAAATACTAATAACAAATTATGTTGTAGTCAATGAATGCTAATTCCTGTGAGCGTTTTGTTTTTCCAGGCAATTTTTTTTTATTTTTTTTTGCATAGTAAAATAAAACATGTAGCTGTAATTTACCCCTTCTTTGCCATATAATTTTGTCATATAAATATATATAAATATTTGTTCTTTCCTCGTATTTTGATGGTTTAATCGAACTTGTAGGGTCATTAAAAACAAATCCCCAAACCAATTCCCTTAGGACATCACATTTTTGACCACTACTCTATGTGGAAAAAACTAAAGACATATTTATTCACCAACCTTTTTCAAGTTTGGCAAAAAGTTACACATTTCTCTTCTTGTTTGCATTAGCATCATTCTTATGTTGAGATTCCTGTTGTTTTTGTATTGCAGGTAGGAGCTGTGCAATGTTTGGGTGGTACTGGCGCTCTAAAGATCGGAGCAGAGTTTCTTCGCCGCTGGTACAATGGAACTGACAACACAAAAACTCCCATTTATGTGTCTGCACCCACATGGGGTGAGCACGAGACCTAATCACACATGGAAAATACTGCTATAAATGTCATTCTGATATTAAATTGGCAACAATATTGTACAAAATATATGTAAAATTTTCGCCTCAAAAGAGCATAACTAATTGCACGCTGGCCTTGAGTTCATTGATTACTTTATTGAGTTCAATAACTTTATTGTTGTCTCAAATGCCAAAAATGTTTAACCAGCTTCTCATGCTCAGTTCAGTTTGTGGTCTTCCGTTCTAGAGAACCACAATGCCGTTTTCTCTAATGCTGGATTTGAGGACATCCGTCCATACAAATATTGGGATGCAGGGAAGCGTGGACTTGATCTGACAGGTTTTCTGGGTGACCTGGAGGTGAGTAGTGATTTTGAAATTTCATTTTCTCACACAAAACAAGCAGTTTATAGTTACTTATTTATCAGTTATTGATAAGATATCTAAAAACCTTAGATTATGTACAAAAAGAAGTGCCTTTTGTCATTTACCACTGTCATCACACTTGAGCGTGACAGATGTTTTTTTTTCTGCTGGGCTTATGAGCCAGTACTTCAGATTTTCTATATATATATATACACTACCGTTCAAAAGTTTGGGGTCGGTACGATTTTAAATACTTTTAAAAGAATTCTCTTCTGCTAACCATGGCAGCGCTTATTTGGTTAAAAATACAACAAAAATCAGTTATAGTATTAAATATTATTCCAGTGTAAATCAGCTGTTTTCTGTGTGAATATATAGTAAAGTGTAATTTATTCCTGTGATCAAAGCTGAATTTTCAGCATCACCAGTGTCAGTGTCTTCAGTGTCACATGATCCTTCACAAATCAGTATAATATGAGGATTTGATGCTCAAGAAACATTTATTATTATTATCAATGTTGAAACAGTTGTTGGTCTGTCAGTTGTACAGTTTTTTTTTGTTTTTTTTTTGGATTCTTTGATGAATAGGAAGTTCAAAAGACTTTTGTAACATTATAAATGTCTTTACTGTCACTTTCGATCAAATTAATTATTCCTTGATAAATAAAAGTATTGATTTCTTTCCTCCAAAAAATAAAAATAAAATTCTCACTGACCCCAAACTTTTGAACGGTAGTGTATATATTGGAAGAAATTAATATTTGTATTCCGCAAGGATACATTAAATTGATCAAAAGTGACAGTAAAGTTACATTGTTACCAAATTCAGTTTGAAATGAATGTGGTATTTGGAACTTTTTATTCATCAAAGAATCCTTTATTAAAATATTTACCAGCACAAAATATTTTTTTCAACTTTGCTAATAATAAGAAATGTTCTCGAGCAGCAAATTAGAATGATTTCTGAAGGATCATGTGACACTGAAGACTGCAGTAAAATTCAGCTTTGCCATCACAGGAATAAATTACATTTTAAAATATATTCAAATAGAAAACAGTTCTTTTAAATTGTATTAATATGCCACAATTTTACTGTTTTTACTGTATATTTGATCAAATAAATGCAGCCTTGATAAAGAAGAGATGTTCAAAAACATTACTAAAAATCGTACTGAGCCCAAACTATAGTGTATTATGATTTCTTTACAAGGAAAAATAAATATTGAAAATAAATATTTGCTAACGTGTAATTGAAAACATGTCTGTCCTGCCAGAGCGCTCCTGATCACTCCATCTTTGTGCTGCATGCCTGCGCTCACAACCCCACCGGTACAGACCCGACCCAGGACCAATGGAAGCAGATCGCTGATGTCATGAAGGTGAGACCATCACAATAACCCCACATCATCTGACTGTGACACCAGTGGCCAGTTGCATAAACTGCTTATACTAGTCTTAAAAGTTCTCATTAGCATCTCATTTTTTCTTCAAGACTGGTCCTACAAACTGGTCCTGGTCCTGGTTTTAAAGTCAGTTACATAAAAAGGTAGATCGATCTAATTTGAGTTGGAAAAGTAAGATTGATTACCTCTTATCTAACTGTTGAGCCCGATCTCATGAAAGTGCGTATCTATACCACGAATGTCATTTCTCGTGCCATTTATACGCCAAAAATGTTTTTTGTGTCTATATGATACGCAGTTTTCGCGTGCATATGATACGCACTTTATGGCGTGTAATACGCACGCACTCCCCACCCCCCTCCCCCCTAAACCTACCCAAGGGGTTTTCAGTGCGTAGCATATGCACGCAAAAACCATTTTTGGCGTATAAATGGCACGAGAAATGACATTCGTGGTATAGATACGCACTTTCATGAGACTGTGTTGAACTGTTAGTTGGTCAAACTAGTTCTTAAAGGGATATTTCACACTAAAAAGAAAATCGTCATTTACTCACCTGTGTGATGCCTTATGCACTTCTTTATTTTATGGACCACAAAAGGAGAACAATAATAAATAAAAAAAGATAGCGACCAACATCAAGCTGGTATATTCCGAGTGTTCTGGGGGTTTACGATATGAAATGTAATGTATTATTTTAAAAATAATCCTGACCTTGGCCGCTGGTCTTCTGTGAAAGGCTACGCGTCATGCGGGTTTGTCTGACTCTGTTAGAGCCGCAGTTTGCCCAGAAAAAAACACACAAGTTGTGAGAAATCAAGATTAACAAAAACGTGACATGAAATACAATCCATGCACCTTCTTCTCTGAGGTGAATATTTCCGTTGTGTTCGTCGCAACAAGAAATCAAAAAAGACAGTCAACTGTCATTTTGACTGTCATCAGACAAAGTTCCGGTCCGGTGATATTGGACTCAGTGAAGGAAGTACACAGATACTTTTTGGGATTTCTATTAATCGCTTTTATTAATCTTAATTTCTCACAACTTGTGTGCTTTTTCTGGGTGAGTTGGAGTAAACTGCCGCGCTAATAGAGCCGTGCAAAGAAGACCAACGGCCAAGGTCAGGATTTTCATTAAATAATACACTAAAGTTCCATTTTTACAACAGAAGCTCATGCTCTATTACTTGCCTTGGAACATATTGAAAATGCAAGAGAACTGAACTTCATATTGTTTACTGATTCAAAATCATGTCTACAAACTCTGGAGTCTTTGAAGACAAACCATTCAATAATCATTGATGAATGAATCAAAGCAAATCAGTTAAGTACAACATTTGTTTTCTGCTGGATTCCAGGACATAGTGGCATTATTGGAAATGAGCAAGCAGACTTGGTTGCAAAAAAAATAATATTTTTGTTAAAAAAAAATTATATTATTATTGTTGCAAAATTTTGCATGTCAAAATAACAAATTATTTGAAAAAAATTCTGTAGTTGGGAAAAGATGTCTACCCTTTTGAAATCAAGACATGACCATGTTTTATATACAAGTTGTCATATAGGTCATACTAGACTGACGCATTGGCATTTATTGAAAAGTGAAGAATCACCTAAATGTCAATACTGAAGTACCAACGATCTATAAATCATATACTTTTGGACTGCCCAATTTTGTATGTTACGAGACAGCGCTTTTTATCTGGACAAACTTTTATGGACTTATTTATGGATCCAGAAAAACTTCTAGCAAAAGAATCAAAAGAATAACATTTAAAGAATCTTTTATAGAATTTTACTCATTTTTGGTTGAATTGTTTGAAAGTTGAATTGTATTAAAACGTTGGTTTTCGTTATATTGTATTTATGATATTATGTTGTTAAATGTTTAATATGTATCTCCAGTGTAATAGCCGGTGATGCTAAACTCAAATATTACTACAACTACTACTCATCAAATAATACATTAAATTTCATATCGTAAACACCCAGAACACTTGGAAAATGCGACACTTTGCATGGGATCATTCTGTGATACTTGTACATCTTTTTTAAAAAAGCTTGATGTTAGTCGCTATTCACTGCTAATATACACTCACCTAAAGGATTATTAGGAACACCTGTTCAATTTCTCATTAATGCAATTATCTAATCAACCAATCACATGGCTGTTGCTTCAATGCATTTAGGGGTGTGTTCCTGGTCAAGACAATCTCCTGAACTCCAAACTGAATGTCAGAATGGGAAAGAAAGGTGATTTATAAGGTGATATGCAAGAGCTCACCAAAATTGGACAGTTGAAGACTGGAAAAATGTTGCCTGGTCTGATGAGTCTCGATTTCTGTTGAGACATTCAGATGGTAGAGTCAGAATTTGGCGTAAATAGAATGAGAACATGGATCCATCATGCCTTGTTACCACTGTGCAGGCTGGTGGTGGTGTTGTAATGGTGTGGGGGATGTTTTCTTGGCACACTTTAGGCCCCTTAGTGCCAATTGGGCATCGTTTAAATGCCACGGCCTACTTGAGCATTGTTTCTGACCATGTCCATCCCTTTATGGCCACCATGTACCCATCCTCTTATGGCTACTTCCAGCAGGATAATGCACCATGTCACAAAGCTCGAATCATTTCAAATTGGTTTCTTGAACATGACAGTGAGTTTGCTGTACTAAAATGGCCCCCACAGTCACCAGATCTCAACCCAATAGAGCATCTTTGGGATGTGGTGGAACGGGAGCTTTGTGCCCTGGATGTGCATCCCACAAATCTCCATCAACTACAAGATGCTATCCTATCAATATTGGCCAACATTTCTAAAGAATGCTTTCAGCACCTTGTTGAATCAATGGCACGTAGAATTAAGGCAGTTCTGAAGGCGAAAGGGGGTCAAACACAGTATTAGTATGGTGTTCCTAATAATCCTTTAGGTGAGTGTATGGACGAGTGCAACATTTTTTTTAAATTTAATGTAGTATGCTTTTTTAAGAGCATACTACATTAAAACAACACCAGGGTGAGTAAATTATGACTTAATTTTAATTTAGGGTGAACTATCCCTTTAACACACAGTCTTAACATAGATAATGCAGCAGGTTTTGAACATTGAAGCACATGATACAGAAATGGAACTTAATTGCATTCAATAAGCCATTTAGGCACAACCTGCAATTACAACCTACTGTTGTCCAAATTTAAACTCTTGATAGTTTGATAAATACTGAGTTAACTATTGCATAATTACCTAAACCCAAAATAGCATATCAAAATTGTAGAGTCAGACAGGACAAAGAATGTGAAAAGTTGCATCATTGGAGCTGTAATTCCCCTTTGTTTTCTAACTTTTTTCTTCTCTCTCCTCTCTCTTCAGCGAAAGAATCTGTTTGCCTTCTTTGATTCAGCCTATCAGGGTTTTGCCTCAGGAAATTTAGAGAAAGATGCCTGGGCTATCCGCTACTTCGTGTCACAGGGTTTTGAATTGTTCTGTGCCCAGTCGTTCTCAAAGAACTTCGGTCTGTACAGTAAGTGATTCCAACAGGTTGTACATTCCTCGCTACAGATTGCATTTGAATGCCAGAACCATTTGATTTTAAAGAATAACCTGTCTCCACAGATGAGAGAGTGGGGAACCTGACAGTTGTATCTAAAGACCAAGACAATTTGAATCGTGTTCTGTCTCAAATGGAGAAGATCGTTCGGATAACCTGGTCCAATCCTCCGTCCCAGGGAGCTCGTGTGGTTGCCATCACACTCAACACCCCTGAGCTTTTTGCTGAATGGTAAATGCAATTAAAATGACTCTAATTTTGTTATTTTAAAGAATACATGTACAGTGCTGGTCAGAATTATTTGCCCCCTTGGTAAATATGATCAAAGATGGCTGTAAAAAAATAAATCTGCATTGTTTATCCTTTTGATATTTTATTTAAACAAAATGCAAAAATCTAACCTTTTATTGAAGTAAAAGTAATATGATTTTTTCCCCCACACTTTCAATTCTTTTACTTCAATGAAAGGTTAGATTTTTGCTTTTTTTTTTTAAATTTTATAAAATATCAAAAGATTAACCATGCAGATTTATTTTTTACAGCCATCTTTGATCATATTTACCAAGGGGGCAAATAATTCTGACCAGCACTGTATGTAAGACATATATACAATACCGTTCAAAAGTTTGTTCTAAGATTTTATTGCTTTTGAAAGAAATTAATAATTTTATTTTGCAAGGATGCATTAAATTGATCAAGAGTGACATTAAAGACATTTATAATTTTACAAACGATTTTTATCTAAAATAAATGCGGTTCATTTTAACTTTTATTTCTATTCATCAAAGAATCCTGACGAGGCATCAATTGTTTTCAACATTGATAATAATAAGAAATGTTTCTTGAGCAGAAAATCAGCATATTAGAATGATTTCTGAAGACACTGTCATTTCTGTGACACTGAAGACTGGAGTAATGATGCTGAAAATTCAGCTTTGCCATCACAAGAATAAATTAAATTTTAAAATAGAAAACAGTTCTTTTAAATTGTAATAATATTTTACAGTTTAAATGTTTTTACTGTGTTTTTGATCAAATTAATGCAATCTTCGTGAGCATAAGAGACTTCTTTTTAAAATCATACCAACCCTAAACTTTTGAATGGTAGTGTTTGTGAATTTTGCATGTCACATTTAAAGGGATAGTTCACCCAAAAATTAAAATTACAATTTACTTACCCAGAAGCCACCCTAGGTGTATATGACATTCTTCTTTCAGACGAATACAATCGGAGTTATATTCAAAAATGTCCTGGCTCTTCCAAGTTTTATAATGGCAGTGAATGGCCGTTTATGTTTTGAAGTCCATAAAAGTGCATCCATCCATCATAAAAATGCTAAATGTTAAAACGAGAATTAGCTTGAGTTTGTTCCCAAGCCCTGTTTGTTTGAACCGTGAGAGGCGTCAAAGCTCACGGCGTTATATTAATTTATTGATATGAATTTAAGGTCAGTGTATGATGCGATTATTCTTTTGGCATTTTCTATCTTCCAACAGGAAGGACAATGTAAAGACTATGGCAGACAGGGTCCTTTTGATGCGTGCGCAGCTGAAAGAAAAACTAAAAGCACTAGGAACTCCAGGAACCTGGGAGCACATCACTGAACAGATCGGCATGTTCAGCTTCACAGGACTCAATCGTAAGCACCTCCTTTACCTAAGATTTCTGTATTTGAATTTCATACAAAATTTCCATCCATTGGGATTTTTTTGAGAGTGTCACTACTGAGAAAAGCCATAATTTGTTTGCATTTGACACTTGATATTTTGTTTTCTAATTCATTGTATGCTTTTCAATTTCACATAGAGCGTCACTAAGCCATTTAAAATGTTCTGTTTTACAGCTAAACAGGTGGAGTACATGATAAAAGAGAAGCACGTTTATCTAATGGCGAGCGGTCGCATCAACATGTGTGGCCTCACCTCCAAGAACATCGACTATGTGGCCGAGTCCATTCATGAGGCCGTCACTATAGTCCAATAAGCACCTTTACCACACTTCCCGTTTGTGTGTGTGTGTCCACATGAACATAGACGCACACAGACACACACACATACTGATAAACACCTCAGCTTTTCCTGGTCTAATTTACTCATCAGCATTTCAACATCCTGTTTTAACTTGTAATTATAAAGAATTGAATCGGTCCCAGAAGATATACATTTCCTTCTCCTAAATAGTCTCTGTAGTGAATATTTCAAATAATCGTGTTTGTATGAATAAGCACTTTGTGGTAGAGTTACAGTCAACCAAACGTCTTTGGATTTCATTGACCTGAAGTTCCATTTTGAACGATTTTGTGATCTTTCATGGTCCTTATATTAAATTCACACAGCTTAGTGTCACTGAATCAGTTATATAAAGTTGAAGGGGAAAGATCTTAAGAACTAGCCCTATATTAACTTGTTTCACTGTATTGAGTTTCAAGTTGTATGTGTCTGTATACATTGAGAAACTTGCACACAGAGATGTTTTTTAACACACAGAGATGTCTAACTTGTTTCACTGTTAATTCCAGTGTGATTTGTTTGTCATCTGATGCTCTTACTTCAATTGAAATGGTTTGAAGCAACATTTTACCTTTAAATCAACTTTTTGTGATTCACTTTTAAACGTATTGTAACTGAATGGAGGGACAAACCCGGTATTGTGTTCTGTGTGAATAAATGCATTCTAGCATATTGGGTGTCTGACAGCTGAGGGAATTAATACAGAAAAGTGATTTGGGGGTTTAATATTCTTTTAAGCTTTTTGCCTTTGATGATGCTTTTTCAGGAAATTCTGGGTTGTGAAGACCCCAGGCATTCTTTTGCACTTTATTTTCTGATGTTTTTTAAATCTGCTGATTCTGAACTATCACTTTTACTGCTGTGTTTCAGGCTCATTTGTGCAAGGCAGCGCTGTTTATTTGAATGAATGTGTCATTAGTCCAAGTACTCCCACCCAGCTTAGTCTTGTAAGATCAAATCTCTAGGAGTATAAAAGCTCCTCGAGCACAAATAGACTAATCAACGTGCATTGAAATAAATGAAGATGATGAATGAACATGTTGTCTTGCATGTTTTATTAGCACAAGTATAAATATACAGATACACAAAGTTGTAATCAAAATTATTCAACTCCCATTGCAAATCAAGTTTATTGGCAGAATTTACAAACTTTCAGCAGTTTGCAATGAACAAATCAAACAAAGTAATTGAAATAGTGGTTTCCCCAAATTCACTTGAAAATGCAACTTTTAATGACTTCTGTAGTCTCAAAATTATTCAACCCCTGAGTAGAATCCCTCACAACAGCACAAATCTGCAAAACAGTTGTGGTCTCAAGCACACCTGATGCAACTAAACAAAGACTTAATTAGTTTCACCAGGTGTGCTTGAGCTAGAACACATGACATATCTCAAGTGGCGTTTGATGAGTGTCAACGTTTGACTGCATGTTAGAAATATGGTCAGAAAGAATGGTCCAAAAAGTTAAGAAGATATCATCGCACTTCACAAAAGAAACCGGATACAATAAGATAGCGAAGGCACTAAATGTTCCGTTGGAAGCATAGTTCACAAGTTCAAAGTTAAAGGAACAGTGGTTACACTACCTGGACGGGGCAGAAAAAGGAAGCTATCAATGGCTACAACCAGATTTCTGAGAAGACAGATTCAGAAAAAACATTGAGTAACTGCAAAAGACCTTCAGTAAGAGTTTAAGTTTTCAGCTTGCACAGTAAGGCGTGTGGTAGATTTTTCCCTAAACCTAACTACTCGGCCGAGTCTAACCCTATACCTTGGCACGCCTACACAGACGTCAGCAGAGTCTAACCCTATACCCTAGCGCATCTACACATCGACGTCGGCCGAGTCTAACCCTATACCTTAGCGCTTCTACACATCGACGTCAGCCGAGTCTAACCCTATACCCTAGCATGTCTACACATTGACGTCGGCCGAGTCTAACCCTATACCCTACCGCGTCTACACATCGACGTCAGCCGAGTCTAACCCTATACCTTAGTACGCCTACACAGACGTCAGCCAAGTCTAACCCTATACCTTAGCACGTCTACACATCGACGTCGGCTGGGTGCTTATCCTATACTCTAGCGCGTCTACACATCGGCGTCGGCCGAATCTAACCCTATACCTTAGCGCGTCTACACATAGACGTCAGCCGAGTCTAACCCTATACCTTAGCGCGTCTACACATCGACGTCGGCCGAGTCTAACCCTATACCCTAGCGCGTCTACACATTGACGTCGGCTGGGTGCTTATCCTATACTCTAGCGCGTCTACACATCGGCGTCGGCCGAATCTAACCCTATACCTTAGCGCGTCTACACATAGACGTCAGCCGAGTCTAACCCTATACCTTAGCGCGTCTACACATCGACGTCGGCCGAGTCTAACCCTATACCTTAGCGCGTCTACACATTGACGTCGGCTGGGTGCTTATCCTATACTCTAGCGCGTCTACACATAGACGTCAGCCGAGTCTAACCCTATACCTTAGCGCGTCTACACATCGACGTCGGCCGAGTCTAACCCTATACCCTAGCGCGTCTACACATTGACGTCGGCTGGGTGCTAATCCTATACCCTAGCGCGTCTACACATCGACGTCGGCCGAGTCTAACCCTATACCTTAGCACGCCTTCACAGACGTCAGCCGAGTCTAACCCTATACCTTAGCACGTCTACACATCGACGTCGGCCGAGTCTAACCCTATACCCTAGCGCGTCTACACATTGACGTTGGCTGGGTGCTAATCCTATACCCTAGCGCATCTACACATCGACGTCGGCTGAGTCTAACCCAATACCTTAGCGCGTCTACACATAGACGTCAGTCGAGTCTAACCCTATACCCTAGCGAGTCTACACATCGACGTCGCCTGGGTGCTAATGTCTTCCTAACTAACGTGCTTCCTGTGCAGGAATAATCGACAAACAGACTTCAGCAAATGTCCTCTAAATGCTTTAATCACGGCCGGGAGTTCTCGACATTTCCTCAGAGAACTTCCCCCAAGAAGAAGCATCAAGCATGGCCGGAGGATCTCAGAAAAATCCCATTGAGAATCCCACCAGTTAACACGGATACAACAGTTTTTTATAGAATAAGGAGGTATGACAAAATTAGAAACATGGTAAGTTTAATATAGTTTAAAATTTCCACCACTGTTGTGTACTAAACACATGTGGTTTCCATGCCAGAACTCAAAGACTTACACCACTACTGACCCAAAAGCACAATAAAAGTGCTCAAAGTCTTATAAATAAGCCACAGAAGTCCAGGGATTCTGTTCTGTGGGGCGATTAAACAAAACTGGAACTTTTTGGCCCTATGGATCAAAATTATATCTGGAGGAAGAAGAATGAAGCATATGCTGAAAAGAACATTCTGCCAACAGTTAAGCATGGTGGTACTCAGTGATGCTCTGGGGCTGCTTTACATCCTCTGGCACTGAAAACCTGCAGCGTGTGGAAGGTGTAGTGTTACAAATGTATTAAAATGTTTAATTTAGGTTCCAATACAATAGTATTTTAACTGAGAAAGTTCTGCACACTGTTTTCCATTTTGAGGCAATCAAGGTGTCGGACATTAACCTCGTCACTTCTCAAAGGTCAGCTGGGCCTTTGTTGATCTAATCAGGCTGATTGGATTAGCATCTCAAGGCTCTGAGTTACACTAGCTGCGTTTACATGGTTCAATCGGAATGAAATCAATCCGATTAATGAATCCGAACACGGTGTTTACATGAACGATAAATAAAATAATCGGGGTGATGTGCGCGTTTATATGTCACAAGATTCAAATCGGAATTGATTTTTTGACAAGCGCACACTGCACTAATATGCCGCTGTTCGCGCATAACTATTCTCCTCTATTGGTTCTTTATTTTTTTTAAACAGCAGACTTAATATTTATCCGTCTCTGGTCATGATTTGGAGACGATGAGCATGAACCGTTTTGCCGTGCTGCTTATATTGATCACGCAGTAAAACCCCGCGCCCAAAACCAGTCGTCCATGGATGATAATCTGAAACAAGCACTGGTGGGACGTTGTCCTGCTTCACTTCACAGACGCTGAGTGAAATGAGAATTTTTTAATAACGGAACACTCATTTTATATTCACTTTATTCAACAGGAAGAACAGCTCGTTCCGTCCGTCATACGTCATTACGCTATTTCAACGTCATTGCACATGCGCAGTCCTTTTAGTTTCGGTTTTCAATCCGATCAAGTGTTTACATGTTCTCTCGATCGGTTTACAAAAGGAGTAAACCACCCCTTTCAATCGGATCGAAATTTCAATCGGATCGAGCTCAATCGGATCGATTAAGGTGTTTACATGAATGTTTTTTAGTCCGATCGAGCCGTCAATCCCATTATAAGTGTCCATGTAAACGCAGCTAGTGTTATGCTGATGAAATCAGGTAACCAGCTGAATCAACATGCTTTGTTTCAGAGTGTCTCCACAATGTATTTTGGCTTAGCCAGACTTGGGTAAGATTTTTGGACGAAGCAGACTTGACGAGGACTGCAGCTACCAACAGCTCGTGTTTCTCAATAAAGAATCCTGCTGAAGATACAACCAAGTCTCCATGGTCTTCGCTTCTGAGTTTCCTACACTTTAGAAGAAAAAAGTTCACAACAAAGGCAAGATGGATTCATTGGAGTATCTGGAAATAACGTCATGTCGTCAGCGAGGAAGCTTGGGTGTCACTTGGACCTTCAAACAGGACAATGCATATATCAGGATTTTTGTGGATTATTGTGTACGCACAGGAGAACAAACAAAAAAATCTGCCTAATTCCCAATAAGTTTGTGCGCACTTAAACTTGTTCTTAACATCGTTCTGGAGTATTCTGAATGGTCGAGTGCACAAGGTTAGCCATTTGCATAAAACAAGCTCAAACTCCATCTCCATATAATGGCTTTCCGCAGACGTGCTCCCGTCTGATCCTCAAGCAATTCCAAGTGTGCCATTCTCACCAGTTCTTAAAAAAGTATAAAAAAGACATTTTATACAGACCCAGATTACAGACCTCTCATCAGCTGTCCATAGGCTACGCTACGCTATCTGCATTATTCAGAGAACCCTCGCAGCTGAAGCAATAATGCAGCTTTCCTTACTCTTTAACTGTTTATGATGGAATATTTAAGATGAAATCAAAATGTATTATTTAATAACTGTAACATATTATTTTATATATGGATTATATAGCTAAAATATAACTTCTTAACATGATTATAAAGCCATATAGACAGTATGCTTTTTACGTGTGGTTTCCCAAGAATATTACTGAACTGGAGGCCATTGCTCATGAGGAATGGGCTAAGATTCCTCAGAAACACCGCCAGAAGCTGATGTCTGGTTATACATCTTGTTTGCAGCAGGTCATAAC